TCATGGCTTCCACGGCTTCTGGAGTGAGTTTTGGGGCAGATGTTCCGCCCAAGAGTCTGACTGAAGGGCTGCCACTGAGAAGGCTTGTAAGACTTGCGCGGGCAGGGCTGCTGAGGGCTGTGGTACGACCTTCAAAAACGCTTTTGACGTGGCACCTGTCAAGGACTTTACGCAGGCGCGCACAGTGAACTGAGAAGGCTGCGTCTGTAATGGCAAGAGTCTCTTTGACTTCTCCATCTAAGTTGGAGAAAAGGCTTTCGGGCTCTGCACTTCATCTGAGATTGTGGTCGAAGGAGTGGCTTTGTTTAAGAGCTGGGGTGTTGGACTTCGCAAGGTGCACTTTGTAGGAACCATCTAGACTTCTCTGCCCCAGCCAAGTCGTCTTGCTCCACGGCTGAGTCCATGTCGGACTCGTCTGAAGCCTTCTGCCCGTCCTTGCGGGCTAGAGCCGCAGCTTCGACTCAGGCCTCCTCGTCCAGAGGGTCTGGCTGAGAAAGCAGCGGCAAGGCGAGAGCAGTTGAGAGCTTGCCAGGCGCAATTTCTGGACTGTCCACGTTAAAGAGCCAGAGGGTAGAACATGGAGCTTCTGCGTGAGCCAGTGCAGAACCCAAGCGGAGGCATGTAATGCCGGTAAGGGTGACTGCAAAATGCTGCTCGGTCTTGGTCGCCCAAGAAAATGCCTCTGAGAGCTGAGGCTGAGCGTGTCGAGGCTGATCCGTTGAAGGTCTTCGAATTTAAGACTGGCATGAGCTGCAAGAAGAAGGCCGCCCAGTAGCAGCGCCAATAGGGCAGGATGGGTTAACAGAGCGCCCGTTTCCAAGCGCCTCTTGCGGTTCTTGATACCCGGAAGGCTGCAATAAGAGGTCTAGAGAGGAGATCCTTAAGGCAAGGCATCTCTGCAATGCGAGATAGCCTGACAAAGCTTTGAGAGCTTGCTTCGACGCAAGCTTACACGAAGCGGTCCTGCAAGTGACACTCGGAGCATGCTTGAAGATAGTCAGCAAGGGCTGGCAGGGTGGCGATCTCTGGGCTTTGTGCAGATGCAGAAAGTCGAGGAGACTTGATGTGGGTACTCTAATCTGCGTGCTCTGGGCCGCGGCGGTGGAGCAGGCTTGGGCCTGCGTCGGGTCTAGAGGCCCAGTGTGAAGGCTGAGAAGCAGCCGGTCCTCCAAGATTCCAAGATGATGCACAAGCGCTGCTGCTCTGGGCTTTGGAAAGGCTCCGGGCAGGCAAGGCGAGTTAGAAGGCATGAGAAGTTTGCAAGGCCTGCTTAGGTGCACCTGTGGGACCCAAATGCTGCCACTTGTGCAAGTGCGAGCTACTGGGGGCTGCAAACAGACCAGCTCTCCAGGTCTTCGCTGTCAGAGTTCTGAATGGCTGCTGTAGCTGAGCAGGCTTTGGGTGCTAAAGGCAATTGTTTTGGAATACATGAAATCGCAAGAGAAACCTTCATCGAAGAGTAAATGTGGTGAGACCTGAATTTCCTCATTCGCGTTGTTGGCGTGTTGAGTGGCTGGAGGTCTCACTTCTCAGGGCCTGAAGGCGACCACGATATCATAGCTGCTCAAAGCCGGATACTCGGATAAGACCTGCTTGATTTTAGGACCATACAACAAGCGAGGAGTTTTTTTTCCTGATGCGACTTGTAGCGGCGTGTACCGTGAGGTTGAAGAGCATCCTGGTTCAGTTTCAGGCAAACCCCGTAAAATTGCCGAGGTCCCGGATAAGGAGAGTGGCGTTGGCAGTTTTGCAGTGGTATCCGAAACTCGTCATCCGGATCCAGAACAGTCGGCTCAAGAGGTGCTACAGGACGTTTCGGAAACGATGATGAGTGCTTGCCCGAGGCTTCTCAGGAAGGGTTGGAGCGCGACCTCGGCGATCTCAAGGCCTGCGAAGACAGTGTCAAGTTCAACTGAAAGCTCGGGCGAGTCGAGTGGTGAAGATGTTTGTTATGAAGGGTTGGGAATCCCTCGTGAACTTGATAAAGTTGCGCCTTCACTTGAATTGAGTGTTGACCTTGATGTTTTCCAAAATCCGAAGACCAAGTGCTCCACGGGTAGTTTGACTTGTGGACGGCAGGTTGAGGGTATGACTCTGTTCAAGCAGCGTGTCTACTCCAAGTACTGGCTGTGCAAGCAGTGTGAAAGCAGAAGACCACTTCGTGACTCTGCGGCAGTGATCAACTTCTTGGACTCGTGGGGGGCCAGAGAGTGAGTCTCCTACGGGCAATTTTGACATGCACGGCCTCGAAGCAGGTTTTCAGCGCGGGATGTTGAAAAGCAGTAAGAGTGAGCTCGTAGCATGCGTGCAAGATCGGAGCGTGCACTCCTCCCGGGTGCACAGAAAGGTGGCGGAACATTGGAGTAATTGCAATCGTGAGGCGGGTGCACATAGTGAGATCGTCGAACGTGCGCTCCACCAAGACCGTTATATCTGCAGTGAAATGTGTCTGCCGTGATGGGTGCGCATAGAGTACTGCTACATTGGGCGCGTACTCCACACCGGAGGCACCATATGGAGAAGCCACCAGATCGTGCGTGCCAATCCTTGGGTGCGCAATTCTTATGTTAATGCTGCAACAGTGATTGTCGCTGATCCAGTTTTGGGTTCAGAGTGAGCAGCGATAGTCCGATCAGAACATGCACACCAGTTGAGTGCATCAATCCGTTAGCCGAAGAACACAAATGGTTATGCGCCAGGCCACTTAACATATCTTTTGAGCAGGCTACGTGTCATCAGAGACAGTTAGGAGAGCGTGCTAGCCATTGTGATCAGAAGGTGCATCAATGTCGTCTGCAGAGCTGTTGACTGACTCCGAAGCAGTCTTCAGAGACAGATGTCAAATTGCAGGGTTGCCCGAAGCAACCATTACGATCTTGATAGGGAAGAACATCAAAACGCTTGCGCGCTTGGCCTTCAGCGTGGGTCAGCCAGGAGAGACGCCAACGGACACAGCGTTGACTAATCTGGTACAAGATGGCGGAAACGCAGTGCCTGTTTCGACATTGTCGTCGGTTCGACGGCTTGTGTTCGAAGCCCAAACTCTCATGGTGAGCCAAGTAAAATCACTAGTGGAGCACAAGGCTGATGAAGCCAAGACTGAGTTGGCCCCAGCTGAACGAGCAGAGCGAATCAAAAAGCAAGCAGCTCGCCTTTCTGGAGTGCCACTTCGGGGGGAGAATGAGTGCGCTTATCAGTCATATGACACAGTCATGAAGATGTGCCAGGAGAACGTGGTGTCATACCTGCCGCCGAATAAATTTCCCTCGCGTAGGGAGGAGCTGAAGCAAGAAAAACCCAAGAAAGAATTGGATGTCGTAAATCCCAAGGTCCTCTTGCGTGACCAAGAGCAAACGCTTCAGTGCCTGGTAAACACACCGCTGAATCTGCACCATGCCCTGCATCGCCGTGCATGGATCTGATCGGGATTTGCGCGTATGACATTTCGATGCAATACCACGAGTGGTTGATGTCGCGCCTGCGCATAGAGCCCCCGCCTAATCACAAGGCCGTTAGCATCCTGCTGGAGGCCGATCGGGCGGCATGGCTCCGATTGGCGGAGAAGTTGCCTGATGGAATCAAGAGAACCGGTGCTGGGGCCTGTCCCATGGACATTCACCTCCCTTCCATGCAGACAGATCCCCTCAGTCGCAGCAGCAAGGGCAGAAGCGTGCTCCAGATGACATTCCAAACCAGCCATGGCCAAAGGTTCCCCGAGGCCCAGGTAAAGGCAAAGATGCCCGATTCTCTGGTAGGCAAATGGTCCACAACTAAGCGTGGGGTGCCAATCTGGTGGATGTTCAACACAGCAGAAGGATGTCCGCGCGCCTCAGCCGGGGGACGATGTGCCCGAGGCATGCATTTGTGCGCCGAGCCAAACTGCCAGAAGAACCACAGCCTTGTGGATCATAAGTCACAAAACCCCATCGCCCGTGTGAACCCTTGGATCCGCCGGCATGCCTTTGACAGGCGACCTTGAGTCCTTTTTGACGCGTGCGAATCGCAGGATTGAAGGGATCCCTCTCAATGAGATGTTCGGAGTAGAGATATTTGCAGGGTCAGGGAGATTGACCTGTGAGTTGCGAAGAGTAGGGCTAAATGACAGCGTCGGAGTCGACAGCAACGTGGGTCGATGCTTGATAGCCCCAATTCTCAAACTTGACCTCCTTGACCCCGAATCCCATAAGCTTCTGCTTGAAATCCTTAACAACCCGAGGTGTGTCTACGCGCACCTAGCACCGCCATGCGGTACTGCGAGCCGTGCCAGGGCTATCCGCCATAAAGGTAAATGCCCGGCACCATGCCGCTCAGGCGAATACCCTGATGGACTTCCCTTTTTAGAGTCCATCCTGCAAGCTAGAGTTAATTCAGCCAATTCCTTGTATGCTCTATCAGGGCTCATTTTTAAGGAGTGTTGGGAAAGGGGAATCTTGTGTTCAATAGAGAATCCTGGGCGATCCTTCATGTGGCAGACGTCACATTGGCTCCTGCGCGCGAGACAGCTCAAGCCCTTGAGCACACTTTTCCACCATTGTATGTTTGGCGGAAGCCGTGCCAAACTGACACGCTTGATCTATTGCGTCCCTTCCTTTCAGCAACTTGGAATTTTTTGTTGTGACGAGAGTGAGAGTCACGTCCATGAACCATGGGGCAAGCTCCCCTCAGGGAAGTGGGCAACGAGTGAGGAAACAGCCTATCTGGTTGATTTGTGCAGAGCGCGCCGCTGCCCTTCGTGAGCAACTGTTGTCTATGGAGGCCATACCTGCGCCCCAGTCACTTGCAGAGTCCAATCTTCCACTGCACCGACAAGCGCAGATTGCCTCAGGATCTCAGCCAGCAAAGTCAAAGGTGCCGCCCCTGGTACCGGAGTTCCGTGCCGTCGTGACCATTACTACTTCTTCCCCTTTCCTTCAAGGAGATAAAAAAACTTGATCACGCTGTGCCCATTCCTGCAGGTGCTGTCACTGACTTTACGCTGCCTAACTTGCCCGAGGGATCTAGGGTTATTCGCCATCAGATTCTAGGGGGTGTGTGCAGTCTAGTGTTGCCAAAGCACCAGACACGACTGGCACCCATGTGCCAGTCCCCGAACCTGGTCCTAACCTCGATTCCAAGCCTTGCCTCATCCCCCTGCCGCCGAATGCCCATCCGGCCGAGGTCCATGCAGCAGCCTGCCTCAAGAAGGACGCCATTGACTCGAGGGATGTGATAGAACTCACAAACCTTCTTGAGTCCGAGGTCCCGGCTAGGGGAAGTGGCACATGTGGCAAGTTCGCCTTCAGCGCTGGGGCATACGTTCATGGTGGGGTATACGGTTCTAGGTTAGGCCTTACAAACTTCCCCTTGACAACGTCCCTTTTGACAAGGTATTTTCGGAAGAGATGCCCTTCAGCCCATTTCAGCAGCCTGGGGTTGTTCAAAGATATCAGTGCGCAAGGTTTGATAGGAACAACGCCGTGGGATTCCCAAACCATGTTGTTAAAGTGAGCAGAGCGACACTGGCCATGACCCCTGCCCTGCCAAAGAAGGCAAAGGCCTCCTTGGGACATCTGTGAGTTTTCACGAAGGGGTCATCAGTTTTGATGCACACAGACAGCGCTGCACCTTGCCGTGGAACGGGGGTTCCCGTGTGGTGCTTGTGGGTTTTGTAGTTAAAGGGCCTAATCTTATCTCCCGAAGCATGCGCGCCGATCTTGAGTCCGCTGGATTCCATTTGCCTGGGATCGCTGACGAAGCTGGTTCACTTCTTCCCTCTAAGACCCCTGCTCCACCGGCCGGGCCCGGGGCAGTTCCTGCCTTTAAGGTTGTAGTAGGCATACCTTGGACCCTGGAAGAGTTTATCAACCAGGCGATAGGAGTTGAGCACCCCCGCCAGATCATGTCGGGTCTGCCTGAGGAGTCCAAGGAGACAATCACAAAACTTGTTGACGTGTCTTCCCTAGAAGTTGGTCAACGTAGAACCGAAGAACTGCGGAAATGGATGAGCAGAGCTAGTGATCTGCAAGGCGTTGAAGAATCTCTCAAGGAGCGGCTCCCTGAGCATTGTGCCCAAATCCTTAAGAAGAAAAGGTTGGCCTTGTTCAAAGAGAGGCTGGAGTGCAGCAAGCACAAGGATGCCACGATTGTGGCAGACATGGCCGAGGGTTTTCGCATCAGTGGGCCCATTCCCTTGACTACTGAAGCCCTGCGGCGCTCAGCCAGAGTCACTCGCAAGGGTATCATACATTCGAACAGGGGGTCAGGCGACCCCGAGTTGGATTCAGCTACTTACGCAGCGACTATGGCCGAACTTGAAAAAGGTTGGCTGCGTGGGCCAGTGCCAGAATCTTCTTTGCCAAGCGAGGCAGTAGTTACTCGGAGGTTTGGCGTCTGGCAAAACGGAAAGTGCCGGCCGATAGATAATTTCCTGGAACCAGGAGTTAACGCAACAACCAGCGCCTGCGACACGATTACCGTGCATACTGCAGACTGCGTGGCTGCAAACATAGCCTTCCGCATGCATGAGCGGCGTAGGAGACAGCTTCCTTCAAATCTTGTCATTAAGTCTTGGGACCTCACCAAGGCTTACAAAAACCTTCCTCTTCATTCCGATGCTCTCTCGGACGCCTTCCTGAGCGTTTGGAATCCGACCAAGAAATGCACTGAGCTGTTTGGGCAGAGCGTTTTGCCTTTCGGGGCGCGCTCTAGTGTACATGGATTCTGTAGGGTTTCATTGGGCATTTGGATTATAGGATTGGTTTTGTTTATGCTCCAGTGGAGCGTCTACTTTGACGATTTCATTGGAGTCGAGACGGAGGTCCTCTCGAAGATCTATGACTTGTGCGTGGAGGGACTGTTTGCAATCCTTGGCTGGGAGACAGCTGAGGATAAGGACACCAGTTTTGGGTCCGTAGCCAAGGTTTTGGGACTTAGGATTGATTTGGGGGCGGCAAGATTCGGCAGAGCATTTTTCACGAACACTGATTCCCGCAAAGATGAGCTCACTGCTACCATCACCGGAATTCTTGAACGGGGCTTTCTCAGTCGGAAAGACGTGGAACGCCTCAGGGGAAGATTGCAGTTCGCCGAGAACCAGATCTCCGGAAAATAAGCTGGACTTGCTTATAAAGCCCTTTCATCACACGTGGCACGAGGTGGAGGCTCCTTGAGCGACCGTTTGAGCGAGTCATTGCATATCCTCAAAGACCGTGTGCTGACTGCACCTCCACCGACAGGTCAATGCACACTTTTCACTTGTATGTGGATGCGTCACATGAAGTCAGTGGTTCAGGCGTAGGAGGTATCCTCACCACATCCTCTGGCGTCCGAATCGGATACTTCAGTGAGGTTCTTGATGATGAGACGCTTGCCATTTTTGAATCAGCATGGAAGCAAGAACCCCATTTACGAACTTGAGTGCTTCTCGATCCTGATTGGGTTATCTGTGTGGATGCGCCTTTTCAGAGAGTGCCAGGTGATCGTATTCGGGGACAATGAGGGGTCCATACATAGCATGATCAGCGGGAGCAGCGATAACCCGTGTGGCTGCCAGCTGATCTCTTCGGTGCATAGGCTAACCGATAGCGAGGGCATTTATCCATGGTTTGAACGGGTAAACACCGCCAGCAATCCTGCAGCCATCATGTGGCGTCCATGATCTTTCCTGGGGAGCACGCGTTAGGGCAGATTGCAAAGGTCTCGCATCAGCGGCGTTAGGGTGCCTGGGGGTTGGATCGCCACTGACCGAGACTACGGCAGGGCTATGATGATGGTTCGTGCGTTCCGTAAGCGGTGCGCTACACGAGTGTGGGTCCCACAATGGTGGGCCCATTGCATGAATTCCCCATGCGCTCTGATACCGCTATAGATGAAAAAAGACGCACGCGCGTTGCTGCTCTCCTGTGATTGCAATTGATTGGATATTATAGAATATCCAATTTGATATTATAGTTGATAAATGTTTCGAAGTGCAACTTTGATATCATGACTGATGGAGTTTGTGATTCCCGTGAACTATAGTGACTTCGATTGGGTATATCAAACGGCCACTCTTTGGAAAATGCTTGGTTGTGCTGATAGCAAATAAATCTAGATAAATTTATGCACGCGTAAAAGTTTGGCAGCTGACTCGTGCAGAAGTTTATGCGTGCATAAAATCCCTCTGCCTGGCATCCCCAGTCGGTCCCTAGGGTCCCTCCTCAGCCCAGCGCATGCAGCAGCGAAAAACTCGCCTGCGTGCAGGTATTGTGCGTCGGAACACAACAGAGGTATAGGGTTCCAGAATACTGCTACTGCCGAACAATTCCAGCCTCGGCAGCAGAGAAAGCTTGAGGCCGCCAGCCTCATGTACATGTGCAGCGCACTATACTGCTCTTTGCGCCGCTTTCAGGTGTAAGCTCAACACTCTCTCCACTGCCGTGGCGCACGTCGCTGCATGCGCATGCTCTCTGTCATATACTTCTGTGTACTTGAACATACAGCTGATGTCTGAAGTTTTGGGATCCACGCCGGCTTTGGTGGCGATCCCCCCGCGGATCAGGACTGGCGGCTGCCTGACAGCCGCGCGTGCAGCACGCCTCGTGGGGCCTCGGGCGAGCCCTGTGTCGTGGCCTCCAGAGGACACTGCGCGCAACTGCGAACATCCGTTGAATGCTTGCCAGAGCGGGCCTGCCAGCCCATCAGATGGCTTTCGGCCATCGTGCCCATCACAGTCAGGGCGTGGCGGAGGTCCTCCGCGCCCAGGGCACGTTGGGCCTGCGCAGCCTTCCCTGGCCTGCAGTATGCAGACAAGACCCGCAACAGATGTTTTGCAGACATTTTAAGAATCCAAAGCCAGGACTGCCAACCGTTGCCATCGTTGTCGATGAACGTGGCCTGCACGCAATGACAATACATGGACGCTAGCCCAAGAGGAGGACATGCAAACATGCCCGAATGACTTTTCGGCGCCGCCCATGGTGCTTTGTAGTTCCGCACCTACCAAGACGTGCGATGAAATCAGTTCATGTATCCAGCTGCGTGCGTGACGACCCATCCTCCTCTGGCGGGTCTTCCAGTCGTCTCTTCGCCTGCGCAGCCATGCAGCAGCAGACTGGGGGTTGGCAGCTGCCACTCCCGAAGTCAGGTCACGGGAGAACAGTTACGCGTGGAGAATGTGCTTCTGCCTTTCTCCCAGCATCCTTCTCCACAGGCTCATCGATCGCGACCTCCTCCTGAAAGCACGAGGAGATGCACCGCGTGTCATGTGTATATGCACTCAGCGCTGCCTCCTGGGAGTGCTCATCAAGACCTGGCTCCTGCGCGCCACTGACAACATGTTCTTTGCGTGACCTGCTTCTCAAATTGATTTATCAGCAGGCATCATCCTCCTCTTCGAAAGCAGGACTGGGCGTCATTGATGCAGGGCGCTCACCTGTATGATCGAGACTCACTCTCTCTATATATGGGACGCAGGATGTTCTGAGCTGCTGGCTTGCTTCACCATCATCATCATGATGTGCGTGCTCCCGTTTAACACGCAGCTTGCCGCCTCAGAATTTGCAACACTGCATGACATTGTATCTTGGTATATACCACATCTCAGAACATGGCCATCTGCTGGATCTCGCATCGATTCACCTGCGCTGGCTTGGTGGGCTTGTGGCTGACGTATATATCTATATCTATATTCATATATGTATATATAATTACTGAGACCATGGCTCTCCGGCCCACGCTCCTTGCGATAGCTCGCTCGATCTGCGCGGGACTCATGTATACATGTCAAATACTGCATGCTCTACACAGATCCTCCATGGCCTGCTTCCGTGGGCCCGTCACTTACTTCTCCGCCTGCGCACATGTAGGCAAGCTGAAGCTTCAACGAATGTATACGGGCTTATAGGGCTATAGGGTTTGAAGGTTTACAAGGGTATATAGTGGGATATTATATATATGTACACATTTTTCTGTATCTTACATGTGTATACATATATATAAGGGGACATACATGATATATATATATAGATATACTATATATATATACACCTCTATTATTTGATTGCCGAGCTTTATTACTGCTGCCTCCACGCAGCACCTCCAGACACCCTGACTTCCAGGTGTCGGTGGAGGTTGACCAAAAGCGCCGTCCGCCTGCACGCAGATGGACGAGGAAAGTGAATTCAGGCGTATTTTGACTCTGGGGACTCGGCGCTTTGGAGGCTGGGAAGCCTCCACATTGCTGTGGTTATACCGCTCCTGCCCTGGCGTGATGCATTTCAGTCACTGCTATACTTTCACCTACATGAGCTCGCGCTGCAGGGCTGTAGAAGCTCGCAGGCAGGGCCCTCCGCGTCGAGGATCTTCCATCCCCGAGCCGCGGACCACGACAGGAGTGACCCCGTAGCGTTGCGGGCCTCCAACAAATGACATTGAGTATCCCGACACCTTGCATGCCTTCCCTCGCTTCCCCCGCACAGGTCCAAGCGCTCGAAGACATCTCCCTCTTCCGCCTGAGAGCTGGAAAGGTGTATATATATAAACGGGGCTTACTTGGTCTCATGCATGCTGAGTATATGGCGGAGACCTTTTGTGAGACCCCGAAGGAGAACGGCATGGCCGCAAGGAGATGGCACCTAAAAGCCCACACGTGAAGCGCAGATGACAATGGCCAGAATGCCTGCGTGTGTCTGTGTGAAAGTGGGTGCTGGACGCTCTACAGCGATTGCAGAAACTATATCGGTACATACAAACTTCAGAAGAACGCATTGGGTGATCATGTGTCATGAAGGGTTCCTGTAGATACAGCATTGGCCCCCATGGGCCCCAGAAGGCAACTGCATGCGTCCTGAAAGAAAATCGGCAGCGCGTACACGAAACATGCATCGACCTGTGTTCTCAAAGACAGATATATACTGCATGGCTTCATGATCACGCTTCCGCGTGACTTCCTCTCTGTCTGCTTATATATGGAATTCTATTCTGCATCTCTCTGCGTGTGTGTATAACACTCTTGAATGCTCACCCCAAAATCTCCTGAACCGAATCACAATCATCGTTCTTTCGCATGCAGACCTGGCGCGGTGCACCTGAACAAATCCAAATTGCTTCTCATTCATCTTCCGACCGGTCCTCGTCCATGCCATCCGCAGGCCGGCGCTTGGCTTGGATCGCCTTCCTGGACTTGGGCGATGAGCGTGCGACTGCCTCTTGCAGCCGCTGCAACGACTCTTCCTGCATCTCCAGCCAGATGGAAGCAGTGCCCAGACCCTCGAAAAGAACCGTGAGACGCCGATCTTGAACATTTATCTCCAAAATTGGAGGTGCCAAGTGAGCATGCTTGGCTGCGGCCCGAACCTTGGTTTTCTTCTTCTTGCGTTTCGAGGCAATCTCCACGTCGTCCTCCACATCCATTGCCCGTTGCACAGCCTCATCAGCTGCTGTTTGCCTCTTCTGCGTGATCTCCGCAATGATCGGCGCATCTATGGATCCGGATGAGTCACCCTTGCCCCGGCGCAAATCGAGGCGTCTGCCTGTGAGCACCTTCACGAACGTTGGGGACCACTTCTTCGTGAAATTGGAGAAGGTCTTGCCCTCCACAATCTTCTGGGGCGGAACCCAAGTCTCCTTGGACTCCTCGTCATGGAGAACGACCATCCGGGTCTCCACTCGCAGCGGCATGAGGAAACCTGACACTGACTTACAGGAGCGCGCGCCTATCTATCTGCCAGCGAGCATATATGCCCTGCTGAGGCGTGCGGCGCGGCGCATGCAGATTTGCGTGTAATGATGCATGCGTGCGTGCAAGCGTCATGGGCAAGGGCAATATGTTACGCGCAACATGAATGCATGCAAACATGGCATGTTCTCGCCCCACCACTGCAACTGCCGTCGCACCAAAACGGAGGTCCTGAGTGAGATACGTCTATGCGCTGCTGCGTGTGCCATGCCCACTTCTTAGCCTTCTTCTTAGGAGTTGCTTTGCGCTTTGCTGGGGACATGTCCAAAGCAGGAATGGTCTTGCTCTTGGACTTGTAATAGAGGAGCTGGTCGATGGCTGCAATCTTTCCGGTGTTCTTGTGCACGGGGAAGCTGAAGGATTTGCTCTTGGCCTTCACGCGCTGAAGTTCCATGTTTGCATGTTCTATCACATCCGTAGACTGCAGAAAGAAGAAAGGAACCAGCAGGGCTTTGTTTTGGCTTTTCTCTTCGTCCTTGGGCAACACACAGGGGTTTGCAGGCACAAACTTCCTGGAATCCATGCCCCATCCGTGGTCTAGCACTTCGAAGGAGCCTTGCGCCTGCTTGGATACGATCTTTGATGTGCAAGGTACGAGCACTAACTTGCCCTTGGGAATGTCGACCTTTGCCATCAATGTCCTATTTGGCTTGACCTGCAGGCTCAAGAAGTTCTTGGCAGCAACGCTGTGAGCTTTCTCCAGCTCCGCAAGTTCCAACATCATCTCAGCGCTGACGAGGGAGGCCATGAAATCATTGCTAACCTGGGGGCCATACTCGGAGATGTCCGTTATGATTTCTGCGTCCGCCTTGGGCGTGTAGATTGCCCACGCACCAGCGACCGGCCCGCCTGGTTCGCTAGCCCCGATTTCGGCCTCGCCGCCCATTGCGAAGCATCGCACCACTTCGTCCGCCGCAACCCACCAAGCAGTGTCCGCCGTTGTCTCGGCGGGGTGGGAGCCAGGCTCTCCCGGCATGTGGTAGGCAAGGAAGCCGCGAAGGTCAGCGCAGAGCTCGCAGCGGAGTAGCCGCGCCAGCACCATTGGCCAAAAGTGGCCATGACGGGCCATACCATGGCGGGGGGTGGTGGGCCACGCTACAAGCCAGCAATAATTTAGCTTTTTCAATATGAGTAATACTTGTAATGTTCCAATGGTTTCCGAAAGCTACTACATTTGTCTTAATTGTGTAAGAAAATCTCAAATCTTTGGCCTTGCATTTCCCCGCTTCTAACACCGATTAATGATTAACACCTTGATAAAATGGGTTATCAATTTGCAAGATAATTATGTGAGTGCTAGCTCATCATGTTGGCTCACAATTTTTTAATGGATGTGTTTCACATTGAAAAGACACCGCAAGTCCTGAGATTATTCTTTTGTTTACAAAACCCGTTACCACATCATGGCATTGACTTTGAACCGACTGCCAAACGAGAAGGGGAATCCCAAGACTTCAGATTTTACATCTGAAGAACGCGTCGTATGATATGTATAAACAGGAGAATTTTAAGGCGAACAGGAACGCCGGATTTAAGCGTTTCAGTTTAGAATTTGGAACATATGTCGTAAGGGGCTTATATGGTAAAGGACAAAACTTCTGATTTGGAAGTCCGTCTTGTATTGAAACACAATTTCTGGGGACAAACTAGTAGGTTACGTCAGCTTACTTGAAGGGCCGCTGTCTTTAGTATTTACTTATGACGGTTATAGGCAGTATTCGGCGTATCTTGATTTATAAGCTCGCCAAATTGACTTATATCTTCCTCAACCCATGCATGCGCAATGCAGGACTTAGTAAGTGCGGAGCTATAAATATCATGTTGTATAAGCTATTACATCTCATAGTAAGTGATTAGACCCATACATATGTAACTTACCTTATCCTCCCTAAGTAACTTAGCTTGGTTACCCACCACGCTTAGTATGTTGGCTAAGTTGTGTAAGTGAGGTGCTATTTAAGGAATCGACGCCCCCGGCTGCCGACACTGCCAATGAGAAGGCAGGACCACGCAGAGGGCCATGACACAAATCTGCTTTAAATTATCTGCGGTATATAGGATCTGTTTCAAGCATGCATGTCTATGTATACGCAGCGCGTGATGTGCAGTTGCAGAAGCTGATTTGCAGATGTTGCAGCGCGTGTTCTATATAATGTCCATGACTTGTATTTGCAGCGGGAGTTTTGTTTGCAACTGTTCGCCGAAGCAGGGCCCTTTGGCTCGCTGGCAGACAGCTGCAGTTTCCTCCCAGTCGTGCGCAGCTGCTGAACATGTCGCTCCGTCCCGACGCGCGCACGTACCTGCAAGCCAAGCTCCATGAGGCCGATGAAGGAGATAAGATGGTGCGCGTGGTGCAAGACGTCCTCACCTTCCTTCTAGAGCGCCACTTGGTGACCCGAATGAAGTTGCCTCCACAGTATGTCGGGGTCCACCCGTGCAACAGGGACGGGTACGGCTTAAACGCCATGGACGTCCACGACCTGATTGATTCGGCGGTCGACGTCGGCTTTGTACCGGCCAAGGTGCAAGCCGTGGGAGTCGAAATTGAACATGAAGACGTCAGATCATGGAATGAACAGCTGGCGGCGTCCGCGTCTGGCCTGCTAGGCGTGATGGATGGCAACGCCTTGAAGATCACCAGTCTGCGCGGCTCCCGCACGAACTTCGCATTGAGATGCGTGGCGCAATCCGTTGCGCGTGAGAACCCGCGCATCAGTGTGAGTGGTAGACTGAACCTTCAGCTACTCCAAGAGCGAGATCCAGCCTACCACACAACGCAGTAGTCGAAGGCTTGCAGTGGCCCCGTGGCGAGAGCATTCCCAGAACTTCTTTCGTTGATCTCCAGGTCAGGGAACACTAGCCTTGCTCGGGGCGAACATGAGCTGCAAGTGCTTCGTCGCACTCACGGTGCTTACACCCGAACGGCGCAAAGCGGGTCGCAGCCATCTTTCGCTGCAATCAAGAAGCAGGTGCTTGCATCGAAGCCTGCGTGTGCAAATTCAGTACCAGCGATGTTCACATTCTGCACGAAAGCGTCTGGAGGGACGGATGCTTCGCTTCTTTCCGAAACTGAGGCGTATGTTCGCGCGCATTGCCCAACTACGCGACAGTTAGGAGAGGAACTGTGGACAGCGCTTGGAGGAGACTGTAAAGGCCACAGCGCGGAGATGGTCCCGCGCTTCCGCCACGCTGTCATGAAACTATCCTACCTTCACCAGTGTGTGTCTCCAGCGGAGGCGAGGAAGATGTTCACGAAAGAGTAATTTGAGAAGGTGAAGCAGGCGGACTCATTGATGACAGCTGTGCGGGCGACTGTCAGGGACCACGCTGGCGAGGAGTTCCTGAGAAACCCCCAGGGCACGCAAGCTCTCGGCCTCCACGACATGGTCATGTGCGCCTTGGTGTTGGGAATCCGCCTCAAGGACGAGAAGAAATACAAGAAGGTGGAGAGGATCTCGCGTGACTTTGTGGTCCTGCTTCGCACCAGTCTGCAGAAGCCAACGATCCCAAATCCATGGGATGGGCGCGCAGAGCTTCATGAGCCAGCAAGCGGCAGCAAGAGTCATGAAGACGCCAGCTCCTCTGCGCAGCCCATGTTGGAGTTGGGCGAGGGTGGCCAAGTCAAAGATCCAAGAGCGCTACTGGATGTACGCGGTTTTGTGGATGGCTGCCATGTGCGCCGGAAGCAAGACAAGACGGTTGGGAAATATGTGGGCGTGAAGGATGGCAAAGCCTACATCGAGCTGGAGTGCGGCAGCCACGCCAAGGTTGACCTCAACGATCTGCTGGAGGGTGTCGCTGTTATGTCGTCTCCTTCAACAGGCGCCACTGCTGCCCAACCCCGCGCGACCGCCGCAGCAGAGGGAAGGCGAAGTCGCGTTTCCAGCGGGTGCCGCCCATGCAGGGGCCGCGACGACGCTCGTACCTGAAGCGTCGCTGATAGCCACAACCTCAAACACAGCAGCGTGTGCGCCATGTGTTCTTGAATTGCATTGCGTTGCATGTCAGTTTCTCGGCTCCATCTGCTTGCATTTTACCACCTCTCCACCGCAGCCATGTCCAAAATGTGCACAGCTTGCCGCGCCAGACCGGCGGATGGAGATGGCCCATGCCCGCCATGCGCCAAGGTCCACGAGATCCAGTGCTTGGTCCATTCAGGTGCCCTGGGAACGCAGTATGAGATGCCGGCGGCGGCACTTTTGCATGGATGCTTGCGCGCTTTGCAAGCAATGACGTTTGGGCCGCCGCAGCCAGCAGCTCCACAAGACAGCCCCCCAGCCGTCACAGTCGGAGCCGCTTGCGCGCCCCGCCGAGTGGCCCAACCTGGTCGTCGCCGCGCTGGTGCCAGCATCGTGAGCAGAAGGGCCGAGGCAAAGACGGCAACAAGGGGGCCGGCAAAGGTAGCCGCGGCCACAAAGGCGATCACAAGCGAGGAGGCGACCATGTGGCTGGCCATGACAATCATTCAGACCTCCTTTACCGCGCCTCGGAGCTCTTGCAGGAGGCGGCCGCCAAATACTGAGGCCCCGCCGCACGTTTTGTCACCCGTCTGCACAGACGGAGCGAGCTAGGGTTGACAGGGCCGCAGGCCCTTGGATGCTCGCTTGGCGGGAAGCGGCAAAAAGATACCTTGCAGCCAAGATTACATGCAGTTGCACATGTGCTTTCAGTTGTTGCCACTACAGCCTCACAACCACGCATGGGTCTGTTTGCTCGCTTGCAGCCATTTTACCATGTGGGGTTTCGGAGGGACGGCAACACAGCAGCATTTGCGCAAACCTGCGCCCACAAACGGGCAACCTTTGCCCGCGTGCGCGCCAATACGGCCAGACAGGTGCGCGCGCGCGCGCGGAACAAACGCTCCCGCGTTGCGAACTGCGTTCAGGCACGTGCCTTTACGCAGGTGTGCGGGTCGGGAAAGCAAGGCGCCCTGGACCCCCGTCTCCCCAACGATCGCGTGCTCGATGCGCTGGCAAACGTTGGGCTGGCCCGCCCGGCTTTGCGCCCCACCACCTTGCCCGAAGAAACAGCCTTCCACGACTGCTTTAGGAAACTGCCGTCTCAGGCATGACCCACGAGGAAGTGACTGATGCAGGCAGGGTCCCACCCTAAATCGCGCCGACGACAGAACCTGCGCGCCGCTACTCCTGGTTTTACATGCCACTCCTGTTGCACGCGGCCCGCCGTTCATCGGGCACTGTGATGGGGGCGCGCTGGCGCCCCTTGGCGTGACGCATTTGGTGGCTGCAGTGCATGCGTGGCCCTGGCGGATGGGCCGCCGGGCCATGAACCCTTTGCGGTGCTGGATGCCCTCGAGCGCCTGCCCCCTCAAAGCCTGCTTACAGTGAGTCAGGCCGTGGGCATTGGGCGGACGACCGCAACTACATGCCAGCCGTAGCGGAATCCGGGCTAATTGCGCGTTGCCAGCGAAGCCGTGGCGCTGGCGGCAGTCTTTGACCGCCGTGCCCCTCCGCAACACAGCGATGCCTTTCCTCTCCCAGGCGAACATTGCTGCGTGGGTGACGAAAATGCGCATTGCGGTGCTCCACTGGTCCCAGGCGACACTCGCCAAAGTTGGTGAGGAAGACGCGGCCACAGTTATCAGTGTGGACGGCGTCGGCGCATTTGACCACGTTTCGCGTGCTGCCATGTGTGAAGGCCTGCGCTGCGGCAGCCGCCTCGCAACCCTTATCCCTTTCGTGCGCCAGTTCTACGGCCAGGACAGCTCGTACTTGTTCTACGACGCCTCCGGCCATGCGCACGAGGTTCTCCAGACGGAAGGCGGGGAACAAGGCGACCTTGCATGATGCCAGGGTTGTTTGCGGTCGCCATCCACCCAGCGCTAGCTGCTACTCAGGCCGAACTCCAAGGCGACGAGCGCCTTTACGCGTTCCTGGATGACGCGTACATGACGTGCGACCCCGAACGCGTCTGCGCCAATTTCCAGGTGCTACAGCACGCGCTCATTTGCAATGCCAACATCGATTTGAACCTGGGAAAGGCGCGCGTTTGGAATGCGGCAGGCGAGGAGCCGCCGGGGCT